TCCCTTACTAATTTTGCTGTCTCCAGAAACAGTTCAAAGGAAATGTATGCCATGACACAGTTCTGTTTAGTTTGCTTCTTCAGTTGTCGGCATTAGACTTCAATAGAAGCTGGCATTAACTGGAAATACTAGTTCTTTGGGTTTTTTTTTAATCTTCAGTGGAGCCCCAGCAATTTAAAAATAAGGAATTTGATTCAGACAAGCTGATAATGTTTCCTTACACAGCTACTTTAGAGAGCACTTTAGATTTTTTAATAAAAGACTTTTGTATTTTACAAATTCCTTTCCAAAACCATACATATTCAGACATTTCCCCATTTGCACAAGCCATACTGAAAGATCAAAGAAAAGTACATTAAAATACAGCAAGTATGATCATTATATTAGTAATATTTTTTACATTGTATAGAACCTCAGGTATAATGTGAGTTTTTATATTTTATAAAATTCTTTATATATATACAAAAAACACATAAGAGTGATTAAAAGAACTTAAAGACTGCAAACAGCACACCGATAAACAGACCATAGTACCAAAGAAGTGATCTACTTACGCTGGCCCCATTGGCCACTGCTGGGATTCAGGTAGTTGGGATAAAGGCCCTCGGGTTTATCCAGTCGACTTAGAACTTTTCGAATATTCATTACCTATTGGAAGAGTACAAAACACTGAGCACTAATCCATTTCCCCTCCCCAAAATAAAAGTGCCAGTACAAAAGTTTAAGTGCAAATATCCCTAAAAATAAAATTTAAAAAGTCTTATTCAACACATATACCTGAATACTTCTGTGCAATCATATTACTATTAAAATATTCTCTAAGCTGACATCACCACGTAAATGAGCTCTTCAAAACCTCTGGAGTTTCTGTGTCAAGTCTCGGTAATGAAACAACACAACACAAACAAGCTCCGAAGTTCAGGACTTGCCATATCACGTATCTTGCCCCTCCATGAGATACTGAAATGCACGGAGGCTACTTGCCTTCACTAAGCTCAGCTACTTCAGCATGATATTATATTGAGAGGTGACTGAGGACTGGAGGAAAACCAATGTCACTCCAGTCTTCAAAAAGGGTAAGAAGGAGGACCCCAGTCAGCCTCACCTCCTTCCCTGGAAAGGCAGTGGAACAGCTTGTGCTTGGTGCCATCTTAAAGCATGTCAAGGAAAAGAGGATTACCAGGAGCAGCCGACATGGATTCACCAAGGGGAAGTCATGCTTGACCAATCTGATAGCCTTTTATGATGGTATACCTGGATGGACTGATGAGGGGAGGGCAGTGGATGTGGTCTACCTTGACTTCAGCAAGGCTTTCGACACTGTCTCCCATGGCATCCTCACAGCCAAACTTAGTGTGGATTGGATGACTGGATAGTGAGGAGGATTGGGAACTGGCTGAAGGGCAGAACTCAGAGAGCTGTGATCAGTGGGGCAGAGTCTACTTGTAGACCTATGTCTAGTGGTGCTCCTCAGGTGCTGGTACTGGGTCAAGCTCTGTTCAGTATATTCATTAATGACCTGGATGATGGCACAGAGTGTACCCTCAGCAAGTTTGCTGATGATTTAAAGCTATGAGGAGTGGCTGACACACCAGAAGGCTGTGCTGCCATTCAGTGTGACCTGGACAGGCCGGAGAGTTGGGCAGGGAGAATTTAATGAAATTCAACAAAGGCAAGTGTAGTGTACTGCATCTGGAGAAGAACAACCTCATTTATCAGTACAGGATGGGGGCTGACCTGGTGAAGAGCAGCTCAGGGGAAAAGAACCTGGGAGTCCTGGTAGACAGCAGGCTGACCATGAGCCAGCAATGTGCCCTCACAGCCAAGGCGGCAAATGGCATTCTGGGGTGCATTAAGAAGAGTGTGGACAGTAGGTCCACCCTATTCTGCCCTGGTGAGGCCACATCTGGAATACTGCACCCAATTCTGAGCTCCCCAGTTCAAGAAGGAAAAGGAACTACTGGAGAGAGTCCAGTGTAGAGCCACTGAGATGATGAGGGGACTGGAGCATCTCTTGTATGAGGAAAGGTTGAGAGAGCTGGGTCTGCTTAGCCTGGAGAAAAGGAGACTGAGGGAGGATCTCACTAATGTTTATAAATACCTAAAGGGCAGGTGTGAGGAGGATGGGACCAGACTCTTTTCAATTATGCCCAGCAACAGGACATGGGGCAAAGGTCACAAGCTGTTACACAGGAGGTTCAGCTTAAACACAAGGAAAAACTTCTTTACTGTGAGGGTACCAGAGCACTGGAATGGGCTGCCCAGAGAGGTTGTGGAGTCCCCTTCTCTGGAGACATTCAAAACCTGCCTGGATGTGTTCCTGTGTGACCTGGTCTAGGTGATCCTGCTCTGGCAGGGGTGTTAGACTGGATGATCTTCAGAGGTCCCTTCCAACCCCTGCCATTCTGTGATTCTGCAATTCTGTGATATTCCTCATATAAACAAACCAGAAATGATATTAAATATTAAGCCTATCACCTAGTTCAGATGCAGAAATATACTGTAAAGCAGTTTTGCCTGGAAAGGAGAGCACTGTTGGAAGTGCTGCATACAACCAGCTTGCCCAGTGGGGATCTATGCAGCCCTGAGCGCTCCACCGGCACTGTTAAGGAACTTGCTACAAATGAGAGGCCTGGGGAAACAATTACAGTCCAGATGCTCTGCAGCTGGAGTCATCCAGCAGCACGATCCATGCAAAGCACATGAAATAATTTACACTGAATTTTAAGTCACAGAAAAAGCAAATGTGGCAATTTGGGAGAATGATTATCCTGAGCACCACAGACCTGAAATCATAATGGAAAAGGTACTGACTGCTTCATTATAACACCCTGAATGCCTAGAGATCAAGTGAACTGGCTGCTGAGGAAGAAGCTAAATTAACTTACACCAAGCTGCAGAAGGATTTCTGTAGTGGTACACAAACTGCCTTCTGCATCTTGACACTTCACTGCTAAGTGTCATTGCTCAAATGCAGACTGCAACAAGTCACAGACCTCAATTAATTCTTCTATGACTACTTCCCTGCAAAGCTTATTCTAGTGTTTCTTCTTTACCAAGCATACCAGCCCTGGAATGGCTTGCCTGGGAGAGCTGTGGAATCACAATCTCTAAGGGGTTTTAAGAGCAGCTTGCATAAACAGATTTCCAGCATCTTGCAGCTATAGCTCAGTGCCACTTTGGAAGAGAACCATAGGCTAGGATTTTAAATATACACACTTTCAACACACTTTGTCTCTTAATAAAACAGATGTAATGCATTAAATTAGCATAAACGTCAAAAGATAATTAAGTCACCTAGCAAGTTTGTTTCTGGCTGTTCCTGGGTGCTGTGCCCCTCCTTATCCCTCCTCCCAGTTCAGATTTGTTTAAGAGAAACTCTGTCTTTAAATTCATCCCTAAATGCATTTAAATTGCTTGGAGTTAGTTTCACACAATTTATTTCAGTGCTGACAATGGTATTGCGGCAAAGTCATTCAGTCCAACTATTATTCATTTTAGATTTGACCATTGCTATTGAATTTACTACTAAACATTTGGACTCTCATTATTAATTAGATTATTAGATAGATAATATCAGGTTTAACTAACATGGGACAGCTGGAATAAGAATACAAAACCAAAACAAATGGAAGCTTTAATTAGGAAAAAAAAATGTAAGATAGATTATAACAGTGTATTAAGTATATTTTAAAGAATAGGAATCACTGACTTAAAAAAGTGAAGCAAAGTTGCTTAGGCAGAAATTGGGGGAAGGATAAAAGTTTCTTTCCAAGGCTTAAATAAAAAGTATCTAGTAAATTTTGGAATAATTAGTAAGCACGACAACTGTTTTGCCAAAGGATGTTTTTTGGGGTTTTTCCTTCCCCCAAAGTTCAAAGCACATTTCTCAAACGTGCAATGGAAGGGCTTTCTGACCTTACTGATAGTAGTGATATTATACAGCATTTTGAGGACTAAATTTGTTGAAACCACACAAGGTAGCCATGGGGCTTTGCTTTCTATAGGCATCACATATTACCCCCCAGTATGATGTCTATTTTTGTTTTCACTACATCCAGGTGAAGTACTGAAGAAATGGTCTGCTTGTATAATGTGATACTAATTTAGAACATAAACAGAAATGATAGGTTTTATGGGACTAAGTGCTATATATAAGAAGATGCATCATAATAATTTTAGAACAGTTTTTTGACTTTATAATAGAAAAACATGCCAAGGTGATTAGGGAAACATCTAGAAAATATCTAGCTCCTGTGACAAATGCTTACAACTGAGGAAAATCCAAATCTCTCCCCAGAGATATCAGTCTCCCAACATGTGATTGGTCTTTTACAACATGATTTTGACTGAACAGTCTAACCTTTTCAGCAAAGACAGGGTTTCCAGACAGGTGGCTCAAATGCACGAACTCCAGATGCAAAGTCCCAAATTCTGCCAAGATGCTGCTGCCGCCAGAGGCCCATGGCCAATTTCGACCAATTCCACTAAGGTGGGGGAGAAAAGAAATACAGAAAATAACCACGAACCAATAACTATAAGGCAATGCTAATAAAATATAACAGGTAATATAGATATACTGTTATCAAGAGAAGATAATAAATTAAAAATGTACTTAATATCTGCCTAAGAAACCATCCTTCAGCAGCCTTTCAAGACTTCACCACAGAACCTAGAATTACTTTGGTCCAGTTCTGCTTAGGCTTGTAAAATCACTTCTTGCGACAAACCAGTCTTTCAGCTCATCAATAGCTCCATTACACATATCACTGTACCAGTGTCTCATTGTACAATATCATGTTTAAAGACATTACAAAAACCACTGAATATGAGAAAACATTCTTATACATCACACGTTTTCCCTGTATTTAATACAGCACTCTCCAATTCTAACCCTTCTACAGTGCAATTGTTTATTAACTTAAAATACTGCATATATAAAGCATAGGCTTTACGTTAAAAGTACTGCATGCAGTATATCCTTCTTAATACCTGAGAATTTAATAGGGTAGGATCTGTAGGCACTGTCTGTCCAGGCACTCTTACCAGGCTGAGTAACTGCAGTTTTAATTAAGACCTAAAGATACTTCTCAGCAAAATTAACCTCAGGTTTTGTGCTGAGAGAAAAGCACATTCATTACTAAATCCCCACTAGAAACTAATGCTGGTTGAGATTCAGGATCAAAAGTCTGCTTGAGTTTCATTACAGAAAGGTATTTTTCCCCCCTTGAAATTTCCAGCAGCAATATTCAGAAAATCTCCTGAAATTAAAGAAAATCCAGCCAACTTTCCGGACCATCTAGGTGATTAGTGACATATTAGACAAGCATATAATGTTAGATATAACCATACCTTCCTTATTTTCAAGTTGTAAACAGCATTAAACACACACATACATATACATAAATTAAAAATTCATTTTACTTGTACATCTAAACAGTCAGTACAGTCATCAGTTAGCACAACTATGAAAACTGGGTATGACTCATATTATGAAAATACAAAACAAAGCAAAAAACCCCAAGAAACCTCATCTTTAGTTCATCATGATGGAAGTCCTCAATTGTATTAAAATTTCTTTTTCAAAAGGTCAGGTATCTATAACTGAAGTTTAACTGATATAATGAAATTAAGACTCCATTAAATTAATTTCCCACTAGCTATATTGACACATTATTTTGAGATATCTGCCACACACACAAAATGAAAACAAGTCATCAGACTTTAAAAACAGAGTAAACGCAACAAATAAAGACCACGTTTGTACTCTATTTAAATGCAACAGCTTTCAACAGTGATTGGTTGACAACACATTTGGTTGCCTGTCCCTGAGCTGAAGGCACTCACGTGCCACCAAAACTAAACCCAGAATATTATCTACTGATAAGCGACTTACATTGTCCCATTCCTCAAGTACCATAGCATGTGTCAAATACTCCCCATAGGTATGCTATAGATTTTCTTCTTCCTAGGCCAAAAAGCCGTGAAGTGACTAAGCTTATCTGAGTGCTGAGTGGAGGGAGAACTTGGTGAAGCAAAAGGAAAGAGAACAGATGAGAGCCCCAGCTGACCATGAAGGTGCAAGAGGCTGGGATACATGGAAGTCCTCTGATGCAAATGATTGCCTGAAACTCCAAGGGAGAAAAACGTTTCTAATCTTCATAGCTGCAGACAAAATCAATGACATAACGAAATCAGACACCCACAATCCAACTTTGATACGATATTTGTGTGACAGAAACAGAACACAGGTTGGATGGGATCTGAATATCTCATTTTAAGAGCCATCTTGCAAAGATTAGAGTGCTTTTTACATTTGGTGAAAACAAAAGTGAAGAGAAAAACCCATCTGACTTACAAGCTGCCTGCACTTCAATCTACAGACATAAAAGTGTCAGATATTACAGAAAATAAGATCAAGGGGAGTGCTGCAGACATGTCTGGAAACCTCTTATCTACAGACTGGAGAACTTACACCTACAGACTGGTTATTCATCCAAGAACAGGCACCATTCTCTGGGACACATTGGCCCAAGTCCTACCTAACTGTTGACTCCTAAAGAAAAATATTTTAGCTTGTTTCTAAATCACCTAGATTGAGAGAAATGCCACAAGACACTACTGGTAACTAAAGCTTGCCAGAAAAAAAAAAGTGAAATATTTCAACATTTTTAAAAGTTACCATGTTATGGTGCAACTGGCAAAAGCCCACTTTCTTTTTTCCATTAAATTTCTCAATAAACCTCAAAGTTTATTGAAAATGGAAACAATGAGCTGTTCCTGCAGCAAAGCATCAACCAAACCTGGCTACCAAACCCTACTCTGTGCTCCACCACAATGTCTGCTGATACGAACACAACCTGTCAGAACATTTTGATGTACTGCATTTTGTTAATAAGAAAAATTTCGAAGTATGGCTATCAAGAGGTTTCCTGCATGCAGCAATGTGTTTTACCATGATTCTTGCTTAAGATGGTTTGAAAACTGTAAGCTTGCATTCTTCACTCCTAATGCAAGAAAAGTAGAAAGAAACATCTATGTAGCATCTCTGTACTATTTAATGTAGCTTTCGTTGTTTTCAGTTGGGACAGATGGCTAGAAGAAAAAAAGGCATCAGCATATTTCTGGTAAATCTGCAGAATAATGAGGATATCAGTTGGTTTAGTCACAGATGGATGCTCTGAGTCCAAACTGATAGGAATGTTTTGACAAGTGGTAGAATCCAAGAATTGCCATTTGGTGCCTTAACTATTTTCCATGCAACTTTCTGCCGTGGATGTCTGATATTGTCTCATATATTTCATCTTTGGGAACAGCAAAACAGGTAAGTTCTCCATATTCCCACATACTAACTGGAGCAACCATAGTATTGCTTCTGGTTCCATTTAACTCTATTCTTATTTTAACATGATAGTCCGGTGTGCAGACTGTTAGCTCCCGAAAAGACATTACTAGAGCTTGCAGAATGTCCAGCAAAGCTCTCAGCATACAGAGTGAGTGAGATTTCATACTCTCTGATCCTTTTTGACCAGGAAAAGTAGACTTTGGCTTCTGTTTAACAGTCTCTTGGCTTAAAAGAAACAAGAAACTGAAGAGGGTGATCTTTTCCCACTCAACCCCCAAGAAAATTTTCCTAAATATCATACACTTTTAAACAGAACAGACCTTAAGCAAGAGAGAACCTGAACAGATGAAAGGATATAGTGAATTGGAAGAAGACTTCTGAGTCAACAATTATAAATAATGAGGACATTTTTAAATTACATGAGGTGCCCTAGAAAATAACATGCAATAAATAAGTGTAATAGCTCAGTAAATCTTAATAACTAGGCATAGTAAAATACTGATTTCTGCTCATGCATGAGACAACATATTATCCAGGGCTCCCAGCTCAGTTTTCAAGCTCTTCACCAATATTATTATTGGAGTGAGACAAAAAATCTCTGAAGTTAAAAAAGTTAATGTTAGGTATCTATTTACTCTTCAGCCATAAAGTCAGTGATGGGTATCTATTGACTTTTCAGTTATGGGCTGTCTTTCTGAAGTCTTAAGATGCAAGCCTGGGGCTCTGGTGTAAGGTTTTATTTCTACTCCAAGTTTTAGCAAAACTATGTATAACATTGCAAGTTCCTACAGTTTTTCTTCCAAAGGCACCCATTACTCAGATTGTGAAACTACAGCAGCAAACTGAACCCAAAGAATGATGAGGGCATTTGGGAGATTTTCAAAAGGTAGCTTAAGGCTCTGTTTGTGAGCTGCACAAACTTATGTGCAGATCACTCGTCTCAACCAAAGCAAAATCTGTAAAGCACTGAAAACTTTTTGCAGCTTACTTTCACTATTATTTTCACTGCAGTTATTCTTCCAAAATAGTTTAATGGCCCATTGCCTTGTAAGCTGGCAAATGCACTCTTCAGGAAGAGACAGGTGCATACCACCACCAGTAGAGGACAGCAGAGGGGGCCGAGCCATTGACACCCTTTCTGTTGACTGCATTCCTTCACCTTGCTTTTGTTTTGTTATTCCCTTGGCCACTATATTTTTCAATTTTCCTATGTTGATACTCACAGTACAATCTGTATTAAGTATCAGAGTCATGTACTGACATCAGTCAGGAACCAAACTCCTTCTATACACTTCAGGAAGCAAGGAGAAGCCACATTACTTAAACTTTTTTGAAGCTGCAATCCCGTACTGAAATAACTCCAGTTTACAAGGCACTATTTTAATGTATCTCAAGTAACTGTGTCCAAAATTGTATTGTTTATACTACTTAAACTCACTAAAAATTTCTGTAAAATATTACTAGAACTTTAGAATTTATTTCTATATTATTATAACTAGTGCTATAACCAGTATTATGTAATTAATTGAAATTTGAAGTGAGGATCTGGATCAGGAAAGTGTATTAAAGAACCTGACACACAGTGCTTGTCATTCTACTGTCATTCATTCTCAGGAAACAGGAGCCTGACTGACCTGAGCCGCTGGTAACTCCACTCAGTATTTTTCCAGTAGACCACTGTTGGTCCTTCTGTGCATAGGAACAGAAAGTATCAGATCAGTATCTCTTCCAAAATGTACAGAATGCACCCAGAGAGGGAACCACAGTGGAAATATAAATATTCAAAGGTCTGTTCTGTTGGTTTTTTTTAATTACTGAAATTCAGAGGCACAACAATATTCACAAGATTTTTTTTAAAATTACATTATGTCCCCAGCACATGTATATAACGCAGCAGCTAATTTTCAACAGAAAAAAACAGCAAATCCTCAGGGAAATTACACAAATACTTCAAAGGGTCAAAACATTTATAAAATCAAAATTCTTGCCACCAGTGAACAGAACTGTTTCAGTGTCTGCAGACAGTTTATTATCCCCCAACCTTTCCTAGAGGGTGCCAGGACAACTCTACAATCTGGAGGCAGAGCAAGACTTCAGAATTTCAATATTTAATGCAAAATGCAAAAGCACAACTTAATAGTCGGTATCTTCCTGCAGACTTAGCCATTAAAAAAGGTGAAAGGCCAGAATAAAACAGATCCAGCAGCAATAATGTGAAGTGTTCAAGAGCCACTGTTTCAAAAAGTTTCAGGATTAAGTATGAAAATAACTCCCTACAGTCCCTTTGGACTCTACTAATGCTGATCTTTTTTGCACAAAAGCTGCTTCAGCTGTGATGGTGGGTGAAAACACAACACACTACGACAGAGAAATGAGAACATGGCACTAGGAAGGGTCCGTGTAAATCCACCAGAGTGACCTGACTTGAGTTCAGCCTGGAG